AAGCTTTTAAACAGAGGCTGGATGGCCATCTGTCAGGGGTGGTTTGAATGCAATATTCCTGCTTTTTGGCAGAATGAGTTGGACTGGATGATGGCCCAGGAGGTCTCTTCCAACTCTGATTCGTGGCCACGGAAAGGCCAGGCAACCGCCAGGCAGGCCCCTTCCACCCCTCCTCCCCTGAAGAAGCAAGGCAGGCGGGCCCACCTCTCTCCGCCACCACCGCGTAGATCAATGGCCCAGGCTCAATGTAGCTGCATGTCACTTATGAGTGGATCATCTCTTTCCATTGTGCCTTTCATCTCAAGAACAGAGAAGCATCCTGAGCTCTGAAGATCACCTGGGAAGGAATCCCATGGGAGCCTTGCAGCGCACCCAAATACCTGGAAGGAGTCACTCTGGACCATGCTCTTACCTGCAAGAAGCACTGCCTGAACATCAAACAAAAAGTGGGTGCTAGAAACAATATCATACGAAAGCTGACTGGCACAACCTGGGGATCACAACCAGATACAGTGAAGGCATCTGCCCTTGTGCTGTGCTACTCTGCTGCTGAGTATGCATGCCCAGTGTGGAACATATCACGCTAATACAGTGGATGTGGCTCCTAATGAGACGTGCCGCATTATCACAGGGTGCCTGCGCCCTTCACCATGGGAGAAATTACACTGCTTAGCCGGTATTGCACCACCTGACATCCGCTGGGAAGTTGCAACCAATAGTGAAAGGACCAAGGCAGAGGCTGGATGGCCATCTGTCAGGGGTGATTTGAACACAATATTCCTGCTTCTTGGCAGAATGGGGTTGTACTGGATGGCCCGTGAGGTCTCTTCCAACTCTTTGATTCTAGGATTTGATTCTATGATTTGATTTGACCGGCGCCAGCATGGTGTTTTGAGATGGTTTCAAACAACTGATGTTAAAGTACTGTATTTTCCGGCCTATAAGGTAACTTTTTAACCCTGGAAAATCTTCACAGAAGTCAGGGGTCATCTTATATTCCAGGTATAAAAGTTGGGGCATACTCGATCCTTCCAGGTGGCTGCTCCTCCTCCTCTTCTCGGTTGCCCAGTGGCTCCCGGCCTCGCCTCCTCCGCCGCCACCATCGAGGTGGGCATGGCGTGTCGGCCGAGGTGGGCATGGCGTGGAGGGGCCCCCGGGGAGGCTGGAGCCAGCAGTGGGAGCCTGGGGAGCCAAGCGGCAGCTGCATTATAGGAGTCTGTCCTGACCATAGAATGTGGTTTCCCACTGCATTGTCTGGCAGTGTTGATGGCACCAGAGTTTCCTCTCTGAAACTTGCCCAAAGGAAGCGACACCCCCTCTTTGGCAAGCTACCCTTCTCCATGCCGGTCACTCGGAAGAATACTCCAACAACAAAACCACCTCCTCTCTTCCCCCTCAAACAATGTTTTAAGGGGCCACGCTTACTCTGCTTCCCGACCAGTCACCTCTGCCTTTCTATATCCTGTCCCTTTCAGGAAAGCTTGACCAGATTTGGAGGCCAATTGCACGCGCCCTCGGTCCACCCGTCTTTTCCTGCCAGCCTTTGGAAGACGGGAGTTTTTGTAATACGGGGAGACTGTATGTGGGAGAAGAGCGATGGCTGCTCCCTCCCTCCGGCTTCCCTTGGTGCCTGCATTGACCAAGGACGTGCTGCTAAGGTCACCCTGCCTCCATGCCACCTGTGATGATGTGTAAGTTTTATTCTTTGGTTATGTGTAGTTTGGACAGTGGTTTAGGGATGGTAAGTATG